TATACATAGCGCGCCACAGGACCTTGCTACGATTATATTACATTATTGTAATTGATTGCAGAGAGAGAGCACATGTACCTAACTCCGCGGCGTGATTCTTAAACAATAAACTCATTATCTGGTAACAAGGAGAACGCCGATACCAACGTACCGGCAGTAATAATCTATCTCTCGTGAACAGCCATCGCCCAGGTTCGAGCCCCCTGTAGCAGCAGAACGATTCTCGAACGACCGATTCGCTTTGATCGATCGCCCGACCAGTCCCGCTGGTCGTAAGCGTGCACAACGATCTCTCAGCCTCTTTCTTCCTCCCACGTCTTTTCTCTTTGTCGTTCTTCTTATTCTCTGCCGCACGCTCGAACGCGGTTCTCTCGAACGCTCATCTAGAGCACATCCTCGAGGTGCGCTCAGTCTTTACTATTTGTTCGCAACAAATCACCAATGCATCGAACAAAAGAAATATATCTGTTTCCGCGATACACCTTCGATTGCATCATTTTCATGCTTCGGTTGGCTTTGAAAATTTCTTCAGTTCCAATAATTTCATATAAGAGATAGATTTTCGTACATGACAAATACTTAAAATATTATAATTTCTGTAAACGAAAGAAACTATAGAAAAATCAGCTTTATGAAATAATTTATCGACAAATGAAGAACGTTGAAAAAAACCGTATTTATAAAGTGTAAAATGAAGAAAAATCTCCTAGAAATAGAATCCGCTAATGATTTTTGATAATGTGCGAAACGTAATTAGAAAATGAATCGTGTCTGTTATTAACGTCGGGCGTAATCTTAAGCTGCAACGTAATAAATCTCAATAATCCCGTCATAGTTCGAGCGTTAGTGAGGATCATTTCCCGCGTTGCGAAGCGCCTTCGTTGGAAATCGGGGTGTTCCTGCGAAAGAATTCCGCGCCGACAATGTCTAATCAGGCGATTGTACACGGAGGGAATACCGTTCCCATGGAATGTTAATGTAATCTTCATCGGCGCTCTTCTTTAGAGAGTACGCGATGGGTCTACCTCGTGCGAGACAACCGGAGCGTCACGATGTCTGCGCCGACCTTCGAGATCACACGCGTGCATTGTTGCGCAATAACGTAATGCCGCGGGTTTCTCTTTTGATTATCCGCGAGCAGCTAGCGGTACAGCAAACAATTGCAGCCGGGGCGCGCGCCGACGAGGAGGATGCGCAGCTGCCGAGATTTATCTACATTTAATGAAACAGCCAACTTGCTTCCCGCGATTTCTTCCGCGTTGATGTCGAAGGGCCGAGGTCACCCTCCTCGCGGCACTCGCTTCCTTACCGTTCCATTCCGTTCTGACTTTTCCCGAACGACAGAGAATATGCATTTATGTAATTTCCTAAATGTTTTCTACCGCTATAAACCATTGACCTCCCAGGGTTAGCCAGGTTAGAATAGAGAGAAAGAGATTATGCGAGTTCTAAGGATGTGTGCGCCTGTGCTCCGCGCGCAATGATCTCTGAATCCGTGCATTATCTCGCCGTGTATTATCTCGTGGATAAATGTTTCATTGTTGTTCCTCTTTGCCGCGGCGGGACTGCGCGGCACGTTTCTGTCGATCGCTTCGGCTCGATACGGGGCTCGATTTATATAATTCTAGTCGATATCGCCCTATGAGTTCTCGTGCCGAATTATTCCGCAGCATTTATAAATACGGATGCTCGCGATTAAACAGCCTCCTCTGGAACGAGCGTATATCAAATAATTATTATTCCCCTATTCAATTTGCAATGCCAATTAATATTAATGTTGCATCCAGCACTCACAATAAATCGCCCCGAAATATATTAACGCTAATTATTTGACCGAATTCCGCGTGGCATACGCGATGGCCGAGCATTCTTCTCGCATAACGAATCGGATTAAAAGGGCGTAACCGCAATTAGCTATTTTCCGTCCAGTTTTATTACGAAAATTTGGGAATGGAGAAAATTTTTAGTTTTTTTTTGCTGTTTCTTCTTTTTCTTTCACACCGTTCCATTTCTTCGAAGAAGATTAAAGCGGATTATGTCTGCAGCCTGGGTGGCGCGCTTGTTCAGGAAATTTGCTTCAGCAGTTGGGTCGCTCATGCATATATTCACGCCGGTGCTCTCTTTTCCACGGTTTCCTCAAACACCGAGGGGCCTCAAAAAGCGTAGCTATGCCACTTTTGATACGGTTCCGCCTGGCCAAGAACCTCTCGACCTTGTCTCGGGTCGGAGTCGTCCGGGGCCAGGCTCTGGGGTCGCTTGCGAGAGACCAGCTGGCAGAGACCTTTCGCTTTGGAGGCTCTTTCAAGGTGTGCACGTGCACATTCACCCGGCACGCTCGGCCTCACGGACACGAACCTTGACGCGTCGGCGTGATATCGCATAAACGCGCGCTGCAACACCGAGCTTTATCGAAATCGGAAGACGCGCCGACTCATCGTCTTCCGCATACTTGGCCAATGAAAAGTGTCTGATACCTTGACACTCAGTTTCCCACAACTAAGTCATCTAATTTTATTTATGTCGTGGCGACACCGCGTAGAAAATTGATGTAAGTAGTTCTCTTTTAATAATGAATGAGAAAGAAGCGTTGCAGAACGTGTATGTAAAGTTTATAGCATACGATATTGAAAGTAACATGTGATCGGTATACTTTAAGCACACGTAAAACCGACACAAGTATCTTCAGTTCAATTAAAGTCAAACAAAAAAAAATATTTTTCTACGTGACTTGCTATTGCATTGAGCAAGCACGTGTTACATTTGAAATGCTTGGCGCATTCAAAGAGCATTCTAAAGCGAGTAAAAATACACTTACTAAGATATGTGGTAAAAAGCGCATTTCAAAGGTGAATGTAATTATAGATCAGCGCTGTAATTGGTAGATGGGTTGTACGGATTAGCATATAAATCAACATATAGTGAATCGTAGAAAGTCTCCGGATCGATATAATCATTATTTCCGCGAGAGAAAAATTCTTAAGTGTCTGTCTAACGGTCGATCCTGGCACAAGAAATTATTCTTGTCTGGACGTTCACTTGTAACCGATGATAACGATCGGAGAAAGAGAATTGGCAATAACGATGCGCATATAAAAACGCTTTCCTCTCGTAGATTAGAAAGAACAAGAATACGGCAATATCTGTGTGGCGATATGTTCAACTTGTGTATTAAAGGGAATACGGGACGCGTGCACGAGCGTTTTACGGGACAAAATTTGCAAATTTTAATGTACGAAAATAAATCCGATTATCGAAAGAGCACCACGTGGCATAATTGGTACTGTAATACCATAAATATCTCTTCCGTCCTATTGAAACGAGATATCCGTTTTTCACGCGATTTTCATATCTATAATGTATTAAACGAGGAATAGTTCATATTACACGATCGGAACAGTTTGCCATAGCGGCACGTGTGAAAGAGAACAATTAAAATGCAATATAATCATGCCGTAACACGATACTCGTGCCACTCTATGCCTCTTTCCCCGCGAACTTCCCTTCTCGCTCTCTCGCTCGTTGTGCAAGTAATGAAAGTGTATCGGTCATTACGCTCCGGATATCATACCAAGCGCATATAGAGCGCACTATCCGGGGTCCATGTGGAACTGCGTTATTTATAAGCGAGCGCAATAAGGACGTGCCGTGATACGCATTATTGCATCCCGGTTACGCGCCGTTACGCATTACGATAAATAAGATCAACGTGACGATGCAAGTGATCTGCAACAAGGACATGTTCGTCAATGCAGGATTAGCGACGCCTATAGCTAGCGTATAGGTTCGCTTCAATATCTAGTTCGTTAGCTAGTAAAGTCGCAGATTATGTCAATTTCTTCGGTCGTTGCACATAGACGGAAATGATCTGTAAATTTTAAAATATGATTTATGATAAGGATGATGTTAAGGCGCGGTCAAAATTAATCAATATCATTGCATTGTAAGATGCTCGAGTGCGTAAATAGTGCGAAATAAACATTTTATTTTAAATGATTTTTGATACGAATAAAGAAAAATTACCCGCAATCATAATGTATTAATTTTATTTTCATTATTCGAGTTTCACGAATACATCGATGATAAGAGATTCAAATTCTTTGACAATAAAAATGTTATCTGTGTGTGTGTACCGTTACTATTATAATGATTTATTAAGGTCACAGTGGTGTGGCGAAATATAATATATCACACCGTGCATTTAGAAGAATAATAAACATATTGAGAGGAAGAGAGACACGAGTATCATTATTTTTTTACGACGAGTTTTATGGTACTTTATATATTTCTCGTATAGAGAAAATTAATAATACTGAGAATAATTACTGTTTATCGAATATTATTATCATGTATTTGTCGCACAATAATGCGACAAAATCTTTAAATAATGTTTCTCTGCATATTTAATTTCGTATTTCCTCGTATTACATGTGCATATATACTAATTTATTTCCAAAAATATCACATCCGAACATTTAGAATATCCGTGTACTTTCCTTTTAATGAGATTTTCTCTCACACTATCATTCCGTATAATAAAATTTAGGATTATCCTGCACGTTATTCTTACTTATGCCATCGTGGAAACTTCTCTCGAAAACAGAGCAATTTTAGTACGGGCTAGATTGACCCTTTCTAACTTCCCCTACGGTATTGTTAGCCGTTTTCTTTCGCATGAAATGTTCGAACGTACGGTTCATGTCTGAGAAACACTCGAGAGTGTATGGGAGCGTAGTGTAACGTCGTCTAGCTGGTCCAAGAATCCAATAAGTGGAAAATGCATTGGAGCGTACGCTCTTCGAAAGCTACTCGAACCGTCGTTCCCTCTGCGTACCGATTCGCGACGAATATTACGACGAGTCGGTTCGTCTTTTTGCTCTACATAGACACGGTATCCGCGACGGAGCGGATAGAAAAGCAGATCGGTGGAAAACGAGCAATCGGACAATTCTACGCTTACGTATATAAGATGGGAAATGCTCCACGTCGCGCGGGGTACTCACCGACACAGAAAGTCTCGCTCGCCGAGACAGAGCTCGAGGCAGTGTTGCCTCGAGGAGGCGGTCATGGTTCTGCGTGCGTGACCCTGAAGACGATGTCCCTGGACTCTATCGATGCACCAAGCGCGCTCGCAAGGCTTTACCGCCAGGCAAGTCTTTTGAGCGTAAATCGTGAATACTGGAAATTGGGATTGCGACAGCGCGCCTGAAACATAGGAAAGTGATCCCAAATTAATTTCGTGAAGAGATTCGGTACACATATAATGTTAAATTAAATATATTTCAACGAGAACATCGCAACATAGTATATACAAATGACTTTAAAAAAGTATGTTTTACTTTACTTATTTTCTATACAAATCGTTTAATTACAATATTAATAATCAAAATTAATGTGAAAAATTGAAATATACATTTGTCAAATGTAATATGTTTTGTTTCAAAAATTACGTATGATCTTTTATTTTATTTTGATAACCGAGCTTTGTACATTATTGTACATTAGTAAAGTGGCATACACTGTATGTCATTTAAATCCGATGCATGTGATTTCGGTATTCTATAGATGTTGTCGGGTTGGACTACAATTTTGATAGATCAGCGCGTTTATCATTTGCCGGCGCGCGAGTATTATGTTCTTCCTCGGTTATTGGCCCGCGTCGCGATAAGCGACGAAGTAGGCACTCCACCCACGTCTCGTCGTACGTCATCCGCTCTTTGCTAAATCGTAATTAATCTTCGCTATGTGACGGGAGCTTCGATCGTGACTCGTGGAAAACTTGCAATTGAAGTTGGGGTTGTTGGAAAGAGAAAAGAAAGATAGGGAGAGAGAGAGAGAGAGAGAAATTAAAAAGATAAGAGAGGAAAGAGAAAATAATAATCAAAGTTTAATAAAATAGAATCAAGATATGTTCCTTTTAATATTTAGATATACTTTTCAGCACTTGTAAAATTTAAATCTAAAGCTATGTTGATTAACTGAAAGAGGAATATTGATGCGTGGTTTTATAAGATTTTGTTTTATATATATAAATTATAAAAGGCGAGATGCATTTGTATGTGTGAGAGACAAGATGAAAAATTACGTAAAACTCGAAGGGGACGTAATAAGCCATTAAGATAATGAAGAATACTTGAGAAATTGCCAGAGAGGGGATGTATGAAAAGAGATTTTCTGAAGCGAGACGAATCGAAACGCGGCATGTCGATCTTCAAAGAGGCGCTAAAGATATTCAATTACCTGCCATCAGCAGGTCACGCCTTGCGAGGCCGTGCAAGCTAATGCCGTTGCCTGTTTTTAATGGCGACTGCGCGAGACTGTGGTCGAGGTTGCGGCCACAGTATAGATGGATTCTTTACAGCGATCAACCGCGGTCGACTTACCCGTGAAACTTCAAATTGTAGGAAGATGTTACTTATTGTGGACTGAGATGTACGCGCCACATTATGATCATGAATGCCCACTTCCGGAGCTCATAAGTTCACACGCAGAAGAAATAGGTATATCACTTATTCTGCATAATACTGTCGTATTATATGCGATAATGGAATATTGTCGAATCTTAAATACTTAGATTACATAGATACGAATAGAACCTTTCAAAATGTTTTGTTTAACGTTTAATCTACCTATCTCATCTCCTATGTTTTCTCTTTTCTCTTCTTTTTCATCTTGCGAAGATGTCTCTTTTACATCTTCGTAGCTCGGAATCCATTAAAGTAAGGAAAATAAAAGATATACAGATACAAAATGAAAAGACATAGATAATTACAGAGCGATGATGATTAAAGGAGCAAAAGGATTTTCTCTCGAGCGCATATACACCATAACCGCGAATCTTTGCATTTCGAGATACGATTTGTAACCTCTGACCTCTTTCCAATTAGAAAAGCGAAATCGTTATTTCGATCAACACAAAGCGCAATTCACCGCGGAATCAGCATACGCATAGCAAAACATCGACGGAACAAGCACTTCCCCACACCGATCGATTCCGTTGTTTTACGTGGGACGTGTATTTGTTATATACGATCCGCGGAGAATGGTATTACAATGGCACACGTGTGCTATCCATTGGCAATGTCGTCACGTGTTTTCACCGTTCATTTAATTACTGTACTTAGCTTTGTACCGTGTGGACATACACACTTTGAAAGAAAAATAGAAAGATAAATTTATTATCGAACGTTAATTGAAATTCAAAATACAAGAGTTAATATTAACGAAATATAATCTATAGATTATATTTGCATAATTAATAAAAAGAAACATAAAGATACATTGTTATATCAATTTCCTACCGCTTTTCCATTAGCATTTCCATTAGTGCAATTTTAATGAGGCCAGTGGAATGCATTCATTACATTGAAATGTGACTACAATGAAACACACTCTCCTAAACTTAAGCAGTGAAAATAAATACTGATTAAAACTGTGATAAGATTTTACTGTATGCAATGCTATACTTACAAGTAAAATTATTGTTTATCGGTGATAATACAATAATTTCACTTAACAGAGCGATTGCGTAAACTTAAATGTTGACATTCCGTGCTAACATCGAACATAAGACAAGGTAACACTTTCGATTTGAAAAATGCATTATACTCATGCGGGAGGAATGACTCGTTGTACAAGTACTTAAAGATTTTTATTGCAATGATGATCCTAAATTACGGCCTTAGTAGAATTTCGTTGTTGACAGGAACATCTTGATAACGCGTCGCGACACGAAATAACGTTTCACATTGTCTTTGTTGCATCTACCGCTGCATCTCGTATTCCTATCATAAATACTCGAAACGTCCCGTAAGTCAATCATAAGCAACATCGACGGCGGAAGAAAGGGGTAAAGAAAATATCCGCTCGCGGCTTGTCACGATGTCGCGTCACACGAGAAATGGTCGGGTCGCATCTGTAACAGAGTAGTGCGGCCATCTCACGAAATGACATACGTAAACCATCCCGTACCAGAGAGCGCCGAGGAATAGTTCGATCTCTGATATACGAGGTACATTTAGATACGATTTGAGCACAAGTAGCATCGGCAACGACGTCGTCGCCCGTCGATGTCAGCGTCCTGAATCTGATGTATAATCTGGGCTTTCTCGGAGCCCCTCTT